GTGTTAACAAGGAAAATACTGACAGTATCCAAATAAATATCTGATATTAAAGCATCTATACAGAAAGCTGCTTATTATGAAATATGAATTAAAGCAAATACCAAATAGGTTTTACTTGATATTAAATTCAATTTCTAATATATTGAAGTAATTAATGCATCAATTAATATTTGCTCATTGATTGACTGATACACTAAGTTCCCTGTTTTGACTCTGATTAGAAGGATAGGATGCTCAGTCCTTAGAGGTTGTGATGAAAAATGAGGATGCTCTGCTTTACTGAGCAGATTTAATTAGGAAAAAAAGTATATTACCTTAGCTGTGAGATCTCAGTAACCAGCTATGGTTTTCCTCTGCACATTTGCCAATAATGTAAATGTGTCCAAATATATAAATATGCTATACATTTCAATGCACTTGTGAATATTCATTAGGAAAATAAACTAGACTCCAACTTTCAAGAATAAAGTGCCACACAAATGCTGAAGACAACCTCTAATAATAATGACAATGTAACTCCCACTGTTTCCATGTGCAGTGTGCACCTGCACTGACTTTGCTGAGCAAGGTCAGACAACATGCACACATTACTCCTAAAAGGGGAGGTTTGAAAATCAGTCCCCATTTCAGGTTTGTGTTCCTCACCCCAATACTGGAGTACTTAAGAACATGAACTCTATCCAGAAACAAACAGTTCTTGGTTTGAATCAGCTCCATCATTTACTGGTGTACAACTGCAGCAATATACTTAACCTTTCTGCTACTTACTTTCTTCATCTGCAAAAGTGGGAATTATAACAGCACCTACTTCTTTTATTAGGTTGTTGTGAGGTTTACACACGATAATGCTTATAAATGTTAGCTATAAGTATTAATTTTTTCAGGCAATATAGTAAGTCTGCATTGAAGCCCAGAACCAGAAAATCTCTGGAGACTAGAGGTCAGAACACAACTAAGTAAGAAATTAGAGACAGCAAAAGACAGGAATCTATGATACATGGAACCCTGCTATCAAGGTGTTTTGTTCTGGGTTTAGGAAAAACCATTCCTGCCTGAAGATGACTGCCATGTCAACACCACTGCCAGCATGGACACAGAAAATAGGTTATGAGTTTTGGATTTGGGGAAACTGCAGATCTAAGCTGGCTCAACACAGGCCCCTCCACGTTGTGTGACCTTGAAAAGGTTCCTGGGCCTCTCTCTCTCAGCTTTCTAATCTATAAAAGAAAGATATCAACATGTATCTTCAGGTCCACTATAAATATTAAAATGAGATAATATGTATATAGTGGCAGTAGTTGGCACACAGTAGCAGCCAGAAGTGGTAGTAACTACTGTTTTCAGAAGGAGGTCAAGAACTACAAGTGTTTGTGGGTTTTGTTTGTTTGTTTGTGGTTTTTGCTTAACTCAATAACCTTAAGGAAAAAATTACAACCCTGTAAATCCTAATAAGCATCTTTCTAACAAACTCAGTGGGAGCCTGGTATGGAACCAGGTGCCGAAGAGGCACTGCACACACATTCCAGGCAGACTGCATGGAGTTCAGAACTGAGGTACTGAGTATCAGCAAAGCAGGATGAGCAGCAGAGCGGTCAGGGACCTAACCACTCTCTGCCCCTCTGCTTTTTAAAGCAGATTACACTCTCACTCTAAAAGATACTAAAATAAACTATAAAGACCAACATTAGTCAATACTTTGTAAGAAACTGAAAGGCTCATTAAAATTTGTAATTGGTGTTACATGTAATGAATCTAAAAGAGTACACCCAGCAGCAACCTTTGAGTCCTTGCCATCTTCACTTTCTCACCTCCCATTCACTCTTATCTGCTAACACTCTTTCTGGGGTCATCAGTCATCTCCTAATTTCTGAGTGCATTGGCACTCGGCAGCTGTACCTCATTTGACAACCCTTTTACCTATTCCCACTTTTCCTTTAACAATAGAGCTGCACTATTTCAAGTGCTACATGCCAGACATTATGCTATAGCTGTGATTCTCAATGGGAGAGCAATTTTGCCCCACAAAGGACAACTGAGCATGTCTGGAGACATTTTTGGTTGTCACAATTTAGGGGAAGGGGAGCACTACTGGCACCTACTAGGTGGATGTCAGGGATGCTGCTAATCATCCAATGGATTCACAGGACAACCCCCCCACAACCAACTGTCAATGGTTACAAGCCTTTGCATATATAATTTTATTTGATTATTATAATAGCCCTGTAGAGTGCATATGATTATTCTCATTTTGCTGATGAGGAAACCAGGCTATCATTATGAATTACTTAGAGAGTGATCATTCAGTTAATGAATTCTCTAGGCTCTCTACTTCTCCTACCTGAGACCCATTTACTATCTGTCAGCACTCCATCAGAGGGAAAAGGAAAGGAGAAAGGCAGGCTGAGCTTTGTGTTATATAAGCAATGCTGGTTTAAAAGAAAAATCTAAGGAGAGAGGAAGTTGAAACAGCTGAGAGACGGGGAGCCATCTAGCATCTTACTCATTTTCTGCCTTTGTCTCCCACACCCACAACTCACCAGGGCTGCCGCACAACCAAGGCCTACCCCCACCTGCTGCTATACAGGATCAGAGACCAGAGACAGCACACGGCAAAATAAATAAAAAATCAGAAATGTAAGAGACTGTGGTTCCATCACCAGGCTCAGAATTGATTTTCAGAGTTGAAGGTCTCCCTTCACATAATTAGTCATTGACATTCAGCTGTGCTGCTTCTAATTAGCTGTCAAACCTTGGCAGAGTAAAATGTCCAGCAAGATGGTAACAAATATCCCAAGGTTTCCTCTTCTCTCTTACGTGACAAGTGAGAAAAGGGTAAGACATTAGCCAACTGCAGACCCCCAAGAAAGAGTGATTCCTGGCCACTGCTTTCCAGGTTGCAGAAGAAAAGGCTTTCTGGGCCTGAGCCTGCCTCAGAGGTGAAAATATCCCCAAACAATCAGAAAGCATTGTACTTTCCAAAAGCCCTTGGCTGCAGCTGCACTATCTCCCAGATGAAGGCTGCCCTTCTCCAAATAATGAGGAAATTGTAATTATTATCAAAAAATATTATTATGCTTTAAAATATATTGAGTGCAAGCAGTGCACCAAGATAAAGAAAATTTTTAAATTGTCTGAATTCAGTCCAAGCTAGTCTCCCCTTACAATCATTTGTTCATTTTTAACACTTAGACATTCCAGGCTGAAATATTTCAAAACGAGACATGAAATGACAGCCATGATTAGGCCAATCTCCTAATCACAGAAGAGCTGCAGATATCAAAAGTGAGAGCAGCTCCAGGCCACCAAGCCAGCCTCTACCTCTGCCAGGGCCTGGAACAAGAGTTCCCATGGAGACCCACATACTCCATGTCTAAATATTTTAGTTATAACCAACAAACCACTGAACAAAATGTTTAATCCTCTGCCTTGACAATCCTCTTCCTAACAATCTGAAAGACCAGGTTTGAATTTAACATTCCTAGGCCCTTAATAATCCCATATAAAATGTAAGAGGGGAGGAGAAACTACCCCCCACCCCAGGGCACATGCAATAGGCAGCTAATCTGTCTCTCTCTCCCTCCTCCCTCTTTTCTTCCCTCTCTCCCTCCCTCCCTCCCTCCCTCTCTCTCTAAAATCAATAAAAATATATCTTTGGGTAAGGATTTAAAATTTTTTAATAATAAATTAAAAATAAACTGTGTGACTTAAAAGATGTCATTCACCTCTCTGGGTCTCAATTTCCCTGTTTGAAAAGTAAGGCACTGGACTAGATCAGAGCATGAAAACAGGGGGTTCATGGGTCATTCACTGACCTCTGAATGTGGCATCAGGGCAGCAGGGAAGACTTCATGGAGCTTAAATATTTCTCTAATTGGTAACCAATCTTTAAAAATTAGGTTTCAAATGAGATTCCACACATGTATTTTCCCAAAATATAAAACCACTATATTGCCTCTTGACTCCATTACTCTTGAGATTTTCTCTCCCAACCCTACCAGGCCCCATGTAAGATACAAGAGAGAGAATGGTAGATTGAAGGAAGTTAAGAGATACAGAGGAAGGCAGGGAAAGGCAAACAGTGGCAATAGAGAATGCAAGGGAGGAAACAAAGACAGGGGTGGGAAGCTAATAGAAACAGACCAGTAAAAGAAAAAGAGCTAATGCTCATGTGTCACATATGGCTTTCAATGTCTTACATGTAAAATAGCTCATGCAATCCTCACAAAAACCTTATGGACAGATTCCATCATGTCCCTCATTTTACAGAAGAGGAAAATGAAGCTCAGAGAGGTGCAGTGACCTGCCCAAGGTCCCAGAGTTAGGAGGTGGTAGAGCTAGGATTCTCATTTTGCAACAGCTCCCCATCTTACTCAGAGTCCAAGCCTGGTTCTTGCAGCAGCCTCGCACAACCTCTCCATCTCGCACCCTCCCACACTGCCCCGCCTCACTTGGTTCCAGCCACACTGGCCTCTCTGCTGTCCCTTCTATATGCCAGCCATTTGTCTTTGTACCTGCTGTTCCTTGTGCTTGAACAACTCTCCCCCCAGGAATCTGCAGACTTGGCTTCCTCAGATGCTCTGGGTCTCGACTCAGTTGTCACCTGCTCCCCAAGGGCTTCATTACCCTAATTAAAAATGGCACTCAGACACCCTGCTCACATACACATGATCCTCTCCCTCTCCTCACTCTCATCTCTGATTTACCATTCTCCAAAATATGTATCATCAAACGTACTACATCTTTTATTTATCTTGTTTATTAGGCTTTTCCTCTGGAATGGAGGCTTCCAGAGGACAGGAATTTTTATCATCCCTTTGTTCAGTGCTGTATTTCTAGTGCTTAGAACAGTGCCTGTCATATAGAAAGTACTCAATAAATGTATGTTGAAATCAAATATTTGCATGCAAGCAGCCTAGCTCCAAAGAGTCTGATTTTACCAACATTTTTTTTCTGTCTTCCCCTCAGGACACCTATTGAGGTCGTTCCTCTCCCTCTGGGCTATGGTGCCACTAAATCAGCTGAGTGGCCACATCAATTCCACCTGTGGGGCAGACAACTCCACAGGGGCCAGCTGGGCCCGCCCACATGCCTACTACGCCCTGTCCTACTGTGCGCTCATCCTTGCCATTGTCTTTGGCAATGGTCTGGTGTGTGTTGCTGTGCTAAGGGAACGGGCCCTGCAGACCACCACCAACTACCTGGTGGTGAGCCTGGCTGTGGCGGACTTGCTGGTGGCCACCTTGGTGATGCCCTGGGTGGTGTACCTGGAGGTAAGTGAGCCCAGGTTTGGGCTGCTCACGTGACTGTGTTTGTCTTTGTCATCCCTGAGCTCCTGTGCTTCTGAGCTCAGAATGCTTTCTGCTGTGATCTGGGGACTGGGAAGGAGGGAGAGTTCCTGTCCTTCTACCTTTCATGAGGAAGCCAAAAGTTTGGAGAGCAGTCATTATCTAGCACCACTTGTGCACATCAGAACCAGGGAGCTGGGAATGATTCTGTTCTCAGGTCTCCAGTATCCAGGTAGCCAGACTTGAGTGATAGGACTACTCATCCTGAAAATGCACCAAGTTTACTCTCTGCCAGGCATGTCACAAAGACATGAGGGGTTGGGGGAGGCAGTTCAATAGGCGCCTTCATCAGGGTTTCCATGTGTGTGGAGGTGAGAGTGTGCAGGAGGAATTCAGGACAAAGATGGGGAGGGAAAAAGGAATTACAGGAAAAAAATAATGAATGAGGAAAAAAAGAGAGAAAGAATAGCCTACAAATAGATCAGACTTCTTTACATGGGTCAGTTGTCTTTAGACTTGGCTCTTTCCACTTGGACATAAGCTATCCATAGACTACTACCTAAAGAACCAACCAGACCTTCCAATTCACATTTTTGGTGCCTCTATTAATAGTAAAGCACCTTCACCAATCAGATAATGCAACAGACCCCAGAGAATTCTTTTGGAGAGAAACATTTCTTAAATTTGAAAGTATTTTCATTCAAAGGTGCAAAGCAGAGTCAGAAGGTGATAAAGATAAAACATTCATTTGCTAACAGAGATACCAGGGTGCCTATACCTGTTCAAGAAATAGATATTCTTACTGGGAAAGCATGCAATTGACTGAAGACTTTTCTTAAAGACATCCTAATATGCTATTAATATTTCTTCTCTGCACTGTGTATCATTCTAAAGAGGTATCCAATGAAGGACAAAATGATGCTATGATTAAGAGAAATTAAAATTCATCAAATTAATATCTCAGTTAATATTAATAGTGAAGACGACAGTTAATTAAGTATGACATATCACAGGAGAGCAAAAATCTCAAACATAGACTGCCTATGCTAGTTCTCATATTAAAGGATGACTGGAAACTAAAATTAGACATGATCTCAACAGGGAGACATAAAAAAAGAAAATAAAAAAGACAAAGAAAAGAAAAAAAAACAACTAGGATTATTAGGAATAGATTTAACTGCTAACACAGCAATTTTCAACCTTTTTCATCTCAGGACACACATAAACTAATTGCTAAAATTCTGTGACATACCAAAAAATGTATCTTTTGCCAATCTGACAAAAATAGGTATAATTTTAGTTGATTTACCAAAAAAAAAAATAACAGTAATTACCTACTCTTTTTGCTCCAAAGTGACTTTTTAAAAGTCAGGTGCTTATACCTGTACATAAGGATTTCTGGTACCAAGATTTAACCAATCAGACTCAACCTTATTATGCAACGTGACAAATAAGATACAACTCTATTATATGACCTATATATTTATGGTTCAAGACAAGGCATCCATACCAAATTACTATTGTTGTGTTAGCTATTGTCATTTTCTTAATTTGACAATCTAAGGGGAAAGAAGCCAGCACTTCTGACTAAATAAGTATTGAATGTTTTAAAAATTCTTGTGGCACAACAGTTGTAAATCACAGGGCTAGGGGGATACTCAGAGTATCCTGATGGCAAAGGGTCTTGTGGTTATCTTGACTTTTATGTCAACCCAATTACTCTGAGACAATCTTGAAATCAGAGGCTATGTCTCTGTTCTTTTTTTCCTGTAGTCCAAATACACTACCTGGCACATAATATGTGCTAAATAAATATTTGATATGTGATTGATTAAATGAGTCTGTTCTGTAATGTCTGCATTAGATGGCCAATTCCTGTTTATACCAGTTGCTACTGTGTCTGTTGTAACAATGAACTATTTATTTTTACATTCAATAATAATGAGACTGAAAGGAGTTAAAAGCATGTGATGTTTTTGTTCAAAAGTAAGGCAGATTTTAGGTGCTATAATCCAGTATGGATTAGTCAATAATTCATACCACCACCGTCCCTCCACCAAAGTGTTTCTGTCCATCCCTATACCTTAGAAGGATTCCTAAGTCTTTCAGAAAGATGGACCTCAGAAGCAAAGGCAGGAAGAGGACTTTCAGCCTAATAAGCATTTTAATTGCCCCCAGATAAAACCAGGCTTTCCACATCTGTAACAAAGTCATTCAGGCACACTCTTTTAGTGTCCATTTGTGATAGCTTCCAGGACTCTGGATGGACCATACTGGAAAATCTCTGTAGCTATCGGTATAAGAGATGCACATTGTGATTTTTCCACACCATGCCAGCTCTTTCAAGCCACACCTGCCAATAAAGATAATCAACCCCTTCTACGGCTGAGCATGAAGAACAGCTGAGTCTATAGAGGGCGGGCACGAAATCTTGCCAAAGGTTCAGTGAACCCTCAGCAGTTTGGATCTATGTGTTTTCCCCTACGAGGAGAATGGTGGTGGAGCTCCTGATCTCCTCTCATAAAAACCAATATGCTATCTTCCCAAAAAGCTATTTGGTGTAGGTGCTCAGTAATCAAGAGCATGGTCAAATGAGTCTATGACCATATAAAGAAGATTTGAGGCAGCAGAGACACCTCTCCACTGAGAAATGGGCTTTAGCACCTTGATTTGGCCCTTCCCACTTGCTTCAAGGCTGTAGTCAATGCAACTTAATATCTCTGCACCACTTTCTCCAACAGTACACTCAGGGTCTACCTCAATAAAAGATAGAATATGACTTAAAGTAGCCATCATTAACAGATGACTGGTTAAAATATTAGCAGTCTGAAGTCCAAAGGACCAGATCTCCCTTTTCCACCCCAGTATATACTTGTCTTAATCTTAAATACCTGCCTGCTTTCTGTGGAACTTGGGAGTAGATGGGGTACCTTAACAAGAGAAAAGAATACTTAAAGCCTCAACGGGCCTTAAAGGAACTGTGAATATATAAATCCATGTGTCTCAGAGAAGGTCAAAGCATTATTCCCAGTAACTTGTCCTAATGACAAGTTACTACAGGTGGTTGAGTAGCTGGTCTAGTAATTGAATGACTATACATAAGAGCTCCCTTGAAAAGAGGGAAGAATGCAGTGCTAACCGCAGGGACTGCTGTAAGCTTGAGAGCCCTCAAGATGAAAGGACAGAAATGAGAAGAACATCATGTGGGGGACAAATTAGCTGCCCAATTCACAGCTTCTTGTGTTTGATTTGAATACATCCATCTTCTTTGAAGGGAATATTGGCTCATATTGGCCAGATACCTTCCTTCAAAGGTAAATTGACACTAGTATGTATGAGTTAGGAATGTTTAGGCTGTACATATTGGAACATTTGACTAACTGTGGCTTAAATAAATGAGTTATTTTGTTCACATAGCAGAACTGTGGAAGAAGACAGTTGTTGATGGTTTAGCTGCCCCATTGTGTCATCAAGAACCAGGCTGTTCCATCCTTTCTGTTCACCATCTTTGACAAGCTGGCTTACTTCCTCATGCTGCTCACAGGATGGCTGCCATAGACCCAACATCATGGCTGTATTCAAAATAGGATAAATGGGGGTTGCAGAGGGGGTGAAAAGCCATTTCCCTAGCGTGGCTCAAAACTCCTCCCTAAGGGACTTCACTTAAGTCTAAGTAGCCAGAAGTGGATCATAAATCCACTTACGCATGCAAGGGAAGATAGAAAGAAAGAGTGAAAATGTGAATTTCTTTAAAAAAAGATGTGGAGATGAGGAATTGCTGAGGCAGACAATAAAATGTCACATATCACATAACATTATGCTTCTTATCGAATTCACTGGGATAACTCTCATTCTAACACAGAGTTATGCTATGAGAAAGACTCCGAAATTTGGAATCAAAAGATCTGGGAATTAAGTGAATGAAATGGAGGTGACAACTATACTTTTCTTATCACATAGGCTATGTGTTAGGCTCAACCATCATCAGCTGAGGAAGTGTTTTGATAACTAAAAAGTGTAATCTATAACTATCTCAGTTAAGACACTTTTAGTTATAAGTAAAAAAGAAAATTTAACTCCAAAATTTGACCTAAAGAGTAAACAGAAAGCATTGACTCACATACCAGGAACTTTTAAAGTCTTATGGTAAGGTGGACTACAGGCACAGTTGGGACAAGGGTCCATCTCATTTCTCTACAATTCTCTCAGCTCTGTCTTTTTCTATATTTTGGCTGTATCCATAGGCAAAGGGTAAGCAATAAGCCTCACATGTGTACAATACAAGCAAGAGAGAACATCTGTGTCCACAGACTTCTAGTACATGCATTGAGATGTATTTCGATTGGATGGTCTTATGGCACATGATTTTCTCTGAACTACTCACTGAACAGAAAAGCTAGCTTAGCAAAGAAGAGTTTCTTCCATGAAACACATCAACTGCTCAGGAATCTCATGGATTACCAGGAGAACCCAAGGACTGCTAGAAGGAGGGACAAGCATAGTCAGCAAGTGGGTGCCATGGTGGCTTTCATTGTTATCATTCTCATCATTAAGGCACACAGGAACCTGAGCTTGAGCAATATAGAAAGGTGAACAAGCAGCAACCAATCACTCATCCTCTTCCGTTTTCTCTGCCCCCAGGTCTAGCAGAGAAATTTGTGATAAAAACCATGCAGGCGACTTCAGCATAGTTACATTCCATAGGGCCCTGGCCTGGTTGTCTTTTTAATTCAGTTTGCAGCAGTTTCTCAAAAACTCTTTTCTGTGCCATACCAAATAGTTCTATCTCAGATTCCCACTCAAGTTTTTAATTTCCCACTTTAGAAGCTACAGTCAGTTTGGAACTTTCCTCTCCAAGCACAACCGTCCCATTTTGTCCCACGCAGTTAAGCACCTTTTGTGATGTGTGATGCACTTATATCAGAAGAGAAAGGCAACATAAGCAGCCAGGGGACATCTGAAAAACTGAACTCAGAGTATGTGAG